CTTTAGGCTAGTCTTTAGTTACATTTAGGTTTAGTTAACCTATTATTACTTAAGCTCTTAGCCAAATTTTTGCTACTTTTAGCTAGAATTCTGCTACTTTTAAATTTAGTTAACCTATTACTTAAGTTCTTAGACAAACTTTTGCTACTTTTAGGTTTAATCTATTGTTACATAAGCTTTTAGTCAACCTTTTGCTACTTTTATAAATTAGCTAGCTTAATGCAACTTTTAGCTAACCGTTTACTTAATTTAGGTTGTTTATTTTTTTGCTTCTTTGGGGTTTTAATTAGCATTTTGTTCCTTTTACCACCATTTTGCTACTTTTAGCTAGAACTTTGCTTTTAGGTTTAGTTAACCTATTGTTACTTAAGCTTTTAGTCAAACATTTGGTACTTTTAGAAATTAATGCTACTTTAGCTAACCTTTTACTTCACTTAATTAGGTTTGCTACTTTTGCGTTTTATTTAGCTTTTTGTTCCTATTACCACCACTTAGCTGCTTTTAGCTAGACTTGCATTACTTTAGCTTTCATCTTGCCTTTTGTAACTTTAGCTTTAAGCTAGCTTTTTTTTTTTTAGATAATCTCTTGCTGTTTTTAGGTAGGATTTGCTTTAAACTTTTATCTAACATTTATTATTTTTGACTTCAAGATAGTTTAGCTTTTTTGCAGCCAGTGTTTTACTCATTTTAGCTTTTATCTAAATGTATGCTTCTTTTAGCTTTGACAGTTCAGTTTCAGCTATTGTAGTAAATTTCAGCAAAGTGATTCAACAACTCTGCATTCACACCTCATCTTTACAGAAAATGTGATTTTTCTAGTTTTCTTTTAAATTTTGATCAGTACACCGGCTATGTTTTAGTCTTAACATGAAATAAGCTAGCCTTTTGCTACTTTGAGTACGACCTAACGATAAGCTAGTGTATCTCTACTTTTAGTTATGCGTTAGCTAAAATTATGCTACTTTTAGCTAGCCTGAAAACTGGACAAAAACCAAAAACTGTCTTTAATACACAAAAGGTGCTTCAGAAAATCAAACGCGTACACGCACAGGAACAGAACCAGGCATGAAGTCAAAGACAAAGCACAGACGTCCAACAGAAAACAGCTGAAGCAGGTAATCGATGCAACAGAGCTCAGGTTTGAACAGGGAGCAAACCCAACAGGAAACAGTGCTACAAAATAAAACAGGAAGTCGATATAAACAAGCACATTGAAAGCAAGAAACTTCAGATTACAAATAATCTAGAAATCACAAAGCAAATTAAAATTGTGACATTTATGTGTAAATGAACGGGGTTGGGGTTAAATTAGGACCAGAGACACGATTCTGTGGGCCACACCTGGTCTTTGAGCTCCCCGACGTAAGCCCTGTACAGCTTGTCCGAGTTGTTGACCATCTCACTTGGATGAACTTCTGCAAGAACTCCCAACAGCTCATAGATCTTACCCAGAACTGTGGTGAAAGGCACAATCCAGATCAATTCAAATCGGTACGAGCCGAATAAAAGCGTTAGACGTGACACTTCGGACCAACGAGCGGACTCACCCGAGTCTGGCAACTTGCTCTTCTGGCAAAGCTCGCTGTAAAATTTGTTGAATATTTCACCGATTCGGAAATCTGCAGCGACGCTGGACGCCTTCGTCATTTGGAGAACCTGCGGAGATGTCCACAACAAACCAAAAATTAATATTTATTTAGCCCTATATCATGCAAAATATTAATATTGGAAGTAATGTAGGCTTTACAGTCCCATCTGCATATTACTCCAGAAGGATTCATAGACGTATAATCAAAGGGCTGCGTATTAAATTTAAAAATGTATTCTTACAATCAGAGTATTTGTAAACATTTCCAGGATTTTTCTTCCATTTCCTGTTTGGACAAGTTACGTGTAAACATTTTAGATGTTTAATGAAGAGTTTGTTTCAATAAAATTATTATTTTTGATTTGTTTGTATTTAAGGACATGGGGGACCGGATGGAGATAATCAGAGGGCCACTTCTGGCCCCCGGGCCGTACGTTGCCCATGTGAGGTTTAAAGGTTTTCAATTAGAAACTCAAAAATGAAAATATTACTGACCAAAACCTTAAACTCTGGGATGTCGTGAAAAATGTTCAGCTTGTCTGAGCAGCATTAAAAAAAAATCTCAAATTAAACTTTGCTTTTTTTAATCTGGTAATGTTTTTCCATACATTCCCAGGTCGGGATATTACTAAAACCAACTTTTTGACTTTTCAAAACAAACGAAGAGCTCTGATATTAGCAGAAGTAAAACAAACGGTCATTCTGTTTCCTTCATCCGGTCTAAGAACAAAAAAAAAAAAAAAAACACTTTGATAACCTTTATAAGGAGCTCCAGCAGCGGCGTTCGACATTTGGCCAGTTTCTCCTTCGTGTACACAACCATGCACACGTCCTGCGGAACAAAAACAAATAAAACATTGTGTAAATAGAGGGCGGAGCTAGGCCTGTTAGGATAACAAATTTTGCTGGGCGATTAATTGTCTCAGAAATTATTGCGATAAACGATAATATTGTTTGAAATCTGACAATAATTAGTAATTATTAGTCAAATTTAAGAAGAAATGTTGGTTAATTTTATTTTGTGTGTTGTACCTTTTTTGACCACCGGATGGCAGTATAAGACTGTTTGAACCGAAGGATGGATAGCGTGAGGGAGCGAGCAGCGTGTCTCTAAGAAAAATGGGAGGGAGGCCCCTTGACATGATGTGGGCTGTCCCTCTTTGGTTCTCAAAATGGCGGACGCTCGGTGTGGTTTAAGCTCTTTAGCATAGCATTTGTCACACAAAGCTTTTAATAAAATAAAATAAAAAAACAAGTAAACAAGTTCTCAGCTTCTTTTTGCAGAGAAAAACAACTTTTTACACGAAGGCACGGGTTTCAACTGTGAATTTTGGAGCTTCGACAAGACAGAGGTTTTTTTTCTCCGAGGTCAGCCTGTTAGCTTGTAGCTTAGCTTTTCAGCTTAGCTGCTTTTAACGATCCAAAAAACACGATTTTGGACGTTACAACGGATTTTAAAGAGAAAGGGAGGGGTCAGTGAAGAGCACCGGAGTTGAGACTTTTGTCATCCAGTGTCTTCAGTAGAAAGAGAGAGAGACTCGAAGAAACGATAAAGCCGATAAATGAAAATGAGGTAGATGATTTTCATTTATCATGCGATTAATTGATTTATTGTTTATCGTGACAGGCCTAGGCGGAGCCACGTGTTTAGTCAGTCGTCTTACTCGTATGTCGGTGGCGTAGGACTTCTCCCAACCTCTGACTCTCGGTGACAGCTTGTCCAAAAACTTCTCCAGAAACTGCAAGATTTCCACCCGGGTGTCCCGCAGCTGGAAATACATATATAGTTTTAGATGTTTGAACGTATCACTTGACGACGGGATTATTTACTCTTACCTCATCGAAGGACAGGGACTTCCTGAGGAAGCTGAGGAGTCCATGATCCTTGGAGAACAACAGAGATGCCTGCAAAGCTAGATCAGAAGTTAAATTTTTACATTTGGTGTACATCTGACAGCACCACAACCTTTAAAAATATTTGTTCTGGACATACTACAACAAGAGAAATTGCATTTCCTGTGTGAATGCTTATTGCTGAAAAACAGCTGAAATTAGCTAACAACATGCTGAGATGTAGCTGAAATGGAAGAACAAACATAAATCAGTAGAAGAAAGAAAGAACTCAAAAGTTGAAATGAGTGCAAAATGTGAAATTAGCTGAAAAAGCTAATATTAGCATAAAAATGGCTAAACAGTAGCTGGAATAACCGAAACTAGCAGAAATAAGCTGAAAGGAGCATAACAAGTTGAAATTAGCAGAAATAATTTAGGTAGGCTGAAAGTAGCAGAAATTACCATGAAAAACTTAAATTTATCTGAAAACAGCTTAAATTAGCTAAAATATGCTAAAAAGCTAGCTGAAAAAGTAGAACAACCTTAAATTAGCATAAGAAAGCAGAAATAACATGGCTGACTTATTAGGCTGAAAGAAGCAGAAATGAGAACAAAAAAGTGGAAATCTAAAAAAAAAAAAAGCTGACATTAGTATAAAACCAGCTGAAAAGTAGCTAAAACAGCAGAAAGAAGCTTAAATTACAAGAAGGAAGTGGAGAGAGCACATTTTTGCTGAATTAGGCTAAAAAAGTTTAAATGAGTGCAACAAATCTGGAATTAGCTGTAAAAGCTAAAACTAACATAAAAACAGCTAAATAGTAGCTGAAACAGCAGAAAAAGTTGAAATTTGCAGGAATAATCTGAAGGGAGAATAACAAGATGAAATGAGCAGGGATAAGTTAGAAGAAGCACAAAATGTTGTAGTTAGCAGAGAGATCCTGAAACAAGCACAAAACAGCTGAAAGAACAGCTGAAAATAGCTGGAAAAGGTTTAAGTTTGCACAAGGAAGCTGAAAGAAGCTGAAGCAGAACAAAATGTGAAAGGAGCAGTGAAAGGTTGTAAACACATCTAAAGATTTGAAGGATGTAAAATGAGCTCAATTCATTTCAGAAAAAAAGTGGCAGAAAAGACTAAATATTTCTAAAAGCTAAAGTTGCACCAATACCAAAAGTCACAGCACCCTTCTCCTGAATGAGCCGAATGTTTTGATTTATCATTTGTTGAAACAGACCAAAAAGTGTGGAACAAAGATGCCGAAAAACATTTTAGAAAAATGGATCACTGAAGTCCAGAGGAGCCAGTTGAGGTGGTTCAGGCATCTGGTAAGGATGCTCCCTGGACTCCTCCCTAGGGAGGTGCTTCAGACATGTCCAACTGGGAGGAGACCCCGGGGAAGACCCAGGACACACTGGAGAGACGATGTCTCTTGGTTGGCCTGGGAACGCCTTGGAATCCTCCCAGAAGAGCTGGAAGAGGAGGCTGTGGAAAGAGATGTCTGGGCTTCCCTGCTCAAGCTGCTGCCTCCGCGACCTGACTTCGGAATAAGCGGAAGATGATGGATGGATGGATGGATGGATGGATGGATGGATCACTACAGTGTGAATGCTTCACAAGCATTCACACAAACGTGTTTGCCGATGACACTAATGTATTCCTTCCAGGAAGTATATATTCCCTTCCACACCCAAAGGGTTTGCCTTTGGGTGTCTGTGCCTCCAAGTGGAGGCATCCCAGATGCATTCCAGTCTGAACCACCTCATCCGACTCCTTTCGTTGTGGAGGAGCAAAGGCTCCAGACCGAGCTCCCCCGGGAGGACGGAGCTCCTCGCCTCAGCTGTAAGGCTGCGTGTATCCAGGATCTTGTTCTTTGGGTCTTGATCCAAACCTCACGAGCGTAAGTGCAGGTAGCAATGTATACGGACCAGTAAATCAGGAGCTTTGACCGTCAGCTCAGCTGCTTCTTCAGCCAGACAGACCAGAGCAACGTCCTCATTACTGTAGACGAAGGCTCCTGCTCCATCCTGTCATCACTGGTGAACAAGACTTGCACATACTCGCTCCTCCTTGGGGAAAAGACTCATTCCAGACCCAAAACGAACATTCCACCCTTTTCCCCGTTTCAGAACCGTGACCTAAGACTGGCCCAGCATACGCCGAAGGTCGTGGCTTGAAGATGCCACAGGAGCCACATCATCTGCAAAAAGCAGACACAAGACCCTGAGGTTCCAAAACAAGACCCCATCCTCTCCTCGACTGAGCCTTGAGGTTCTGAGGACCACAAACAGGATCTGAGTGGGAACGAGCTCAACTTTGAGTTGAGGATGCAGAACTTTGGTTTTACAGGGACCAGACAGCTCTGCTCTCTCAACCCAAGAACCCTCATACACCCTCCACAAAGTGCCTCAAGGAACATGGTTATAAACCTTCTTCAGATCCATAAAACACAATCAGACCGAAGAACCAAACTCCAATGACCCCCTTAGGAACTCCACAAGAGTAAAGATCTGGTCCACAACCAGATTCAAGCCCCACTGCCCCTCCTGAATCAGAGATTCAACAATAAATTGGAACCCACCCTTCATCGCCCTGAAAGACATCAGCAACAACCTCAGAGGAGATCAACTGTTGGTGCACATAAATCTGGGAAGGGTCAAAGGTCAAAGTGCCTCTTAACTCTAAAAACAACATGGCAGCATGGATTAGGTTTAAATTTAATCTGAAAGAACCACAAAACTCAAGGATCAAATCCAAACCAAGATCAAAAACTGAAGCAAACACAGCATGTCAACTGTGAAGCACGGTGGTGGAGGGCTGATGATCAGGGATTAAGCAGCCACTGAGCTAACTGATGTTCAAAGTTTGAAGTGATTTCTGTAAGACGAATTGATGAGCCACACTTTAGATCCACAGAGCACCTTTTCTTCCGTGTGTTTCATCGCTAGTTCCCAACAGAAACGCTTCTGAATTAAAATCGTCATTTTTTTAAATGGAGTTTGGCGAGGTTTATAAGTGAACTGCGTCTTACCGAGGTCAGTTTCGGTGGATGTTAGCATGCACTCTTGTCCCAAATCACCGATGATATCGTGACATTTCAAAGCTGCGGAGCGTAAGTCTGTGTCTGAAAGTGACTCGTGAACTTTCAGAAGAAGTCCTTGGATCCCCGAAGCGGCGCTGCTGCTCTGGGAGGACATGACTGCCGAACCGAGTTGGATCTAAAACTCGCAAGACCGCTTCACTTCAGCTAAAACCACAGCTTTGGTTCTCTGTCCGAAGTAGCCGAAAAACGGGTTTTCAAGTTTCCAGCGCGCATATTAACAATTGAATGCAACACCCGGAAGAACGAGGACAGGATGCAGCCTGGGAACATTTCAGAATAAAATATTTAAACAAAATCAAGCAGAGATTTAAACTTTGGACGTAACAAAAACATTAACCCGTTATAATAAATAATTCCAGAGTCTTTATTACTTTGATTCTACAGTTACATATATCGGTGAGTCTTGACGCAGACCAATCAATTTTCAAACACAAACTTACTTTGAAGTTACAACCGGAAATGGAAGCGTTTAATAGGCAAGTTTGGGTAAATGTCTCCCTCTAGTGGTCATAATGAGAATCACATAAATAATAAAATGTTTTCATGTTTTATTTATTTATTATTATTATTAAAAAATGTATAGGACTGTGATGTGCTAAATTAAATCTACAATGCCTAACGCTCATTATTATTATTATTATTATGCATTAGTATCAAATTGTATTTTTGTTGGCATATTGATTAAATTGAATGTATTTGACCGAAAATAGAAGCGAAACAGTCGATAGAATCTGAGAATAAAGACAATCAAGCCTGATTCATATGAAGACAAATTGGTTCATTTATTTAAAGAAAAAAAAAAAAAAGAAGCAGGCTCCAGGTTTATCTTTTCGTGTGGGAAAATATTGTTGTATGTCAAATTAAATACTAACACACAAAGGAAATGTATGGATTTGAAGCATCTAGTCACACTTTGAACTCATGTATTTTGTTTTAAATTGTAAATCCCTTGCGCGTAATCAGCCTGAAATTAAATATCTGAATTTTCTTTAGGAAAAGAAACGTTTGTGTGTGTGTGTGATTTATTACTTGATAAATCTGATCTAAATTTCATGTCTGATATTCTTCTAGTAATAGCTTTCAGAGCCTTCAAAAAAAGATTAATCTGTGGGATCTGCTTGCAAAAATAAATATTTCTTACAATATAGCACAAGTAGTGTGAAATTATTAAAATTGACCTTAAACAAACAGCTGATTACAGGTCAATACCACATTGAACACAAGCTGCACTACACAAGACTCACCAGCAGAGGGCAGTCGTGCAACGCCGCAAAGTTCTTAAATTAAATCTAGGCAGAAACTTTATTATATTTTATTTTTATTATAAATAAATAGAAGATGATCAGTGATGAGAACAAAATGAGTCGTACGTTTTATATGAACACAATTAAGATGTTTTATTTATTTAGTTTTTTTTAATTTAAATAATGTTCCTTAATTTCCTAAACTTTCCACATAATAGAGGGAATATATTTTTTAAAACTAGGTAACGTTTTATTTAAATTTATATTACTTTTACACATACATCTGACTTCTCTTAGTTTTCGGTGTTTAAAGGTTTAACATTATGTTTAAGGATTTTGTGATATAAGTGTTGTGATTTATTTAAAGCTGCTGTCTGTCTCGACAAAGACCATTTTTGTAAAAACTAAATGAATTTCAAGAGTTTTATGCATACAATCACAGCTTTAGAAATATTTAATGTAAACAACAAACCAAAAATACCAACAACAACAACAAAAAATTTGAGTTAAATTGGACGTTTCATTTTTAGTAAAGTTAAAATATTCAGTTTCGGAAGTAGTAAAAAAAATTTCAACATAAAACCCTCAAGCACAGCGGTTTATGAACTTTTAAGCTGTTTACGATTAAATTGAAAAATGGCGGAAACTTTTACCAGCAACTGTTGCTGTTGAAAATTATACAAAGAGCAGCGCTCAGCCTATATTTAATTGTCATTTGTCAATTTGATTGTCATGATTTTATACAGATGACAATCAGTTAAAACTAAATATTCATTTGGAAACCGTTTCAAGCTAATTTATTTAATATAGATTCTGAATTCTGGTCTGCCAACATTTTATTTTCGAATCACCTGATTTTCCTCGTCAGGTTATATTTTGAATTATATTATATTTTGGTTATATTTTTTTTTTTATTGTTGGATGTAACTGGGACCCTGTGTACATAATTTCGCTCCACCACATGTACCACATGAGGTGCGAATGACAATAAAGAAACTCTGACTCTGACTCTGACTCTGACTCTGACTCTGAAAGGCTGAACAGGAAGTGTGCGGCTCTACTGCGCATGCTCGGCAGCGCAGCGCTTCAGGCAGCTACCTGTTCCTGGAGGAGGCTCCACGGAAACATTCCTCAGCGCGTGCACAGAGACACGGTCATCACAAGCTGCAGTTGACGTCACATGGAGAAGGGAGCGGGACGGCGAACGAGCGGAGTTTGTGGGATCATTTATCATTTTTCTTTTTGGACCGTCGGATCTAAATAATTTTAATCTTTTATTTTTTTTAAGATATACATTTTCGGCGATGTTTAAAGGTCCAACGGCAGGTGAGTTATTTCTGCTACTAGCTTAAAACTTCCCTCCGCTGCAGTTCGTCCGCGTTCAAAACAAAGTTAAAACTGCGCAAAACGTTCACAATAAAACTTTTTTTTTGTTCTTTAAATAAAAAAATAAAAAAATCTGACCTTTTCTGTCATTTACACACGAGTTGAGCGAACTCTTATGAACTTTGTGTGTCATAAACAAACAGATTAGTGTGTTTCTGCTCCGCTATGGGTAATTAAACCGTAAGAAAAGTGGACATTTAAGTTCACTGAAAGCTCTTTTTTAAATTTTTTTAGAGCCGAATTAACTATTGAACTTTAATAAATATTTTACATTGAACGTGATAAAAATCGAAGTGATTTTACTGTTGAATGAAGCACAAATAATTAAAATTTCGGATATTTCGATAGAAGTTTCACGTTGATTTTGACTTGGAAGCGTGCAGAGGGGTATAGGTTACATTTTAAGTGTTAAAAAGCAAAAAAACAATCAAACCCTGAGCTTTAATTTGACTCTTTAGATGAAAAATTGACATACACATATAAATATGTTTATAAGCATTACTATATGTATGGTGTTTTACTCCTTATTGTGAATTTAAGAGGAAAAAGAGGGTTGGATTTTGTCAGCAGATTACTTAAATACTATATTTTAAGCTTCTGTTCCAGGAAATGTGTCACCTGTTTGTGACCTCACTTGTTGATGTGTGTTAGCCATGAACAGGTAATGATGTCATGAAGTTGCAGCTGGATCTGGTCAGAATTAAGGTTCTGCTCTCTGCTCCGTAGAGTTCTTCATGCAGTGAACGAAGGAACCCTGACGTTCAGACCCGGGGCCCGCGGGACCCAGAAGGCATGCTGGCGGCGATGCTGCGCCAGAGTTCTGGTGGAGGATCGGGTGGCGGTGGTGTCAGTGCAACTAAACCCTCTCTGGGCTCTCGGCTCTCCAGCTCCAGCTTGGGTTCGGGAGGATCTGCCAGGGTCAGCAAGAGCGGTTCCGTCAGCCCGGACAGCACCGACGCCCCCACAGCCGACCCACACTACATCATGCAGCTGGTCAGCGACGTGCGCAGGTTTGCCGATGTGCTCCTGCAGCTCAAAGAGGTGTTCAACTCTAAAGGTGGGTTGATAATTGGACCACCAGCTTGTTCTGGTGCTGGTGTGACCCGGCCGACACGTCTCGTTCTCACAGCTTTAATAACCGTTTACAGAGGTGCGGCCCGGTTGTTCAAACCCAGGTCCGACCCACGAGTCGTTTCTGGGCTTGTGATGTTTTCAAAGTGCCATTGAAGAGAACCTGTGAAGAATTTGTTTCCACAACACGGGATGTGGGCTTAGCAGCAAAACAACCCCATGTCCTTTCTGCTTTATACTCAAATAACTCCTAGTATCGTGCATGAGATATTTTGCTAACAGACAAACCACAAACCATTCACTCTTCCTGATAAAGTCGGATCTTGTGGCTCGGTTTGGGAGAACAGTTGAAGAGTTTTCCAGCAGAATCCCGGGGCCTCGACCCGTCGGTCAGTCAACCCGTGTTATCTCACTTTATTTGAGTTCTTGTCTCCGGTAAAGTCAAAGTCAGTGCACGTTTCAGCAAAACACCCCAGACCTTTAATTTGTCGCATTGATAAACCCGTGGAGATCGAGTCATAGCTGTCGACAAACCATAAAGTAAATCATATTTATGAGTTTTCAGATGGTGATAAAAGGCAGAACTGATGACAGGTCCACGTCTGCTGCTGCTGCTGCGATTGACTTTTTATGCGGCTGCTTACAACCCACGTTTGGTCACTCTTCAGACTCGATAACGAAGCTCTAAATGAGTTAAAAGTCTCTTTTTTCCACGTTTTATCATCGTCTGCTCATATTGCTTGTGTTGTTACCAAACTCTTTCATGAATTACTGGACTTATTTGGTTAAATCTTGCAGGAAATAATAATTTCTCATAAACTTTTAGAGTCATTCGGGTTCAAGATGGCCTCCACAGCCAAACAACGTAAAAAAAAATAAAAAAGCAGCTTTAATTTATTTAAATTTTAATGCACAGCTATAAGGAGACTGAGAGAACACAAGCAAGCATGTTGACTGATTTAAGATTTTATTAGAAAAGATTTAAAACCAGTTTGTAATCAGCTCTTTTTTTAAAATAAAAACAAATTTATTTATGGTTACGTTTACGATAAAGACCAAAGTTCATGCTCAATAATCCAGGTACCAATGTTCAGTCAGCAAAAAATAAGAAACCGTGAAGATGACCTGAGATGTTTCATCCTTCATCCAAAGGACTTCTTCAGTCCGAGGAGCCGCAAACAAACTGGAGTCCCACAAATATCACACTCCTGTAGTGGAAAAAAAACCAGTTTGCGGGTGATAAGATGGTTTCTGGGGCTCGCCCTCTCCCTCGTCAGCTCCTCTGAAGCAATCATGGCAGAATGGTTCAAAACACAATAATGGCTGAAATTTTGATTTAATCACAAGTACTGAGAATAACTAACCAGAGCCAAGTGTGTGCTAAAACACTCAACAGGTGCTTTGAGATTTATTTCTTGTTCTGAAGTGTTTCGGCTTTATTTGTTACCACTCCTCAGCTGTTCGGCTCTTTTTAAGAGCCTGACGAGCTGAAGTTAGCATTTAAACCGAGTTCTGCTGGAGGGTTCTTCCTGTTAAAAGGGAGTTTTTCCTTTCCACTGTTGCCTTTGTGCTTGCTCAGGACGGGCGACTGTGACGAAGTGAAGACTCCGAGCTATCTGCTGGATCCTTGGATAAATAATGTTATTAAATGACTTTTATATACAGTAGTCCCTCATTTATCGCGGGGGATCCGTACCCTAAAGCCCCGTGATGAGTGAAAAAAGAAGTAGGGATAGTAGTACAAGTAGTAAGTAATAGTTTATTTTAGTATTTATATATACCGGTGTGTGTGTGTGTGTGTGTGTATAAGGCATTTTAAACTCTTCCCATACTACTGCATTATTTTAAATCAATGGTTCTAAACGCTCTAAAAGAGCACTGGATGTCCTGTTGTGATTTCAGCTCTCTGCCTCCGCTGCTCTCAGCCACCTGCAAGCGTTTTTGGCCACGCCCACTTCTCCTTTCTGCACAAGAACAGCTGATCGGCTGCAGCAGGAAGTTTGTCCTGCAGTGTGGGCTGCGCAGAGGCGCAGCAGGTGCTAAATAATTTAAGTAATTTAATAATGAAGTAATTTATTTTAAATAAAAATTCCGTGCTGATCGTGCGGCTCATCCATCATTCAGCCAGTTGTGTGTCATGTCCAATCTTATTTTGAAAAACGAACCGCAAAGTAGCGAAGGGCTGCTGCATATGTGTCAAACTCAAGGCCCGGGGGCCAAACGTGGCCCTCGTTGACTTCTTCTCTGGCCCCCAAGATGATAAGTGAAACGTAAAAGACTTCTATCTCTTGAATTTTTTCAGTAATCTTTGATTATGATGTCGAAAGCACAACAGAAAACATCAAATGAGACCAATCAAACTCTTGTTGAGGAGCGTGTGACCAAGAAAAGATGCCGGGCATCTGATTTGAGTTCATGTAGTTTCTGAAATTGGCCCTTAGTTTGAAAAAGGTTGTAATTTTGGCCCCCTTTTGTAAGTGTTGGTCACCCCTGGGCTACTGTATATGAATTATACGATTTGGCTCCGCTGCATGTTGTTGAGGAACCGGTTTGTGATCCGCGCTCGAAATCCTAATTCTGCCCGTCGGTCCACTTTCCTTTTCAAGCAGCGAGTCTCTTAAGTCTTTAACTTTTATTTTCTGGGTGGGGCCAGGACAGTTTGAGGCTCTCGTTGCGAAGCTTTGAGTTTCAGGACGGTTGGGAGTCGGTGCGTTTCTCTGATTTATGACCGTATTGTTTGTGAAGAACATCACAATAGTTCAAAACCCGTTACTCTAAAAGTTTAGTTTTTGTTTCCCAGCCTGACAGAGCGCGCAGTCAGAACTCAGGGTCCTGAATCCTCCAACAGAGGCTTCATTCACAGTCAGTGATGTGAGACTGACACCCATTGTCCTGGTGGGGGTGGGGGTGGGGGGGGGTCGCATCTCCAGACCAGCATGCTTCTGCTATCTTTGAACAAAATGTTTCTTTCCCAAGTCAGGGATACTTTAAGGCTGCAGGATTGGTCCCCTGGGAGTTATACTCCATGTTTTATTTTTCTAGTGAAGCATTATCCTTAAATGGACACATTTTCACCGGGATGCTTCAGTTGTTGGGGACAAACGGCTGAATTTAGGTTTTCGCTTCTGTCTGGGAAAAGATCACTGGGCAATACAGCAAAAGCAATCAAGATTGTAACCATACACACAGCTCTGGAACAAATGAAATAATAATTATTATTAAAGTATTTCTACACGTATGACAGCCATTCCATCACAAGCACGCCTCATGCTACTTAACAAGGTACTGATCAGGTGACCACCTGAACCAGATCCTAATAATGAACCAGGACCAGCGGCATGAGCTCAAAGTAACTGGAACTGGAGAAATTGCATTTCCTGCAAAAATGCAGTGTGAATGTTTATTGTAGAAGAACTTGCTGAAAAAACAGCTGAAATTAGCTAAAATACATTCTGGACAGTAGCTGAAATGGAAGAACAAGCCTAGCTGAAATTAGCAAAAAAATAGCTGAAAAGTCAGAAGGAAGTAACTGAAATGAGCTAAAACATGTCAAATTAGCTGAAAATGCTAAAATTGACATCAAAAGAGCTAAATAGTAGCTGAAAGAGTGGAAAAAGCTGAAACTAACAGGAAAAAGTTGAAAGGAGCAGAACAAGCTGAAATTAGCATAAAGAAGTTAATTGGGCTGAAAGTAGCAGAACTTACCACAATAAACTTGAATTTATCTGAAAACAGCTGAAATTAGCCCCCAAAAATTCTAAAAAGGTAGCTGAAAAGTTGGAACATACTCATAAGAAAGAAGAAAGAATACATTTTTGTTGAAAGAAGCAGAAATTATCAGAAAAAAAGATGAAATTAGCAAGAAACTGCTGAAAAATAGCTTAAAAAAAGCAGAAAGAAGCTGAAATTACCAGAAGGACTTGGAAAGAGCACATTTTTGCTGAATTAGGCTGACAAAAGTTGAAATGATTGCAATAAATGTGGAATTAGTCAAAAAAGCTCAAATTAGCATAAAACAGCTAAATAGTAGCTGACACAGCAGAATAAGCTGAAAGGAGCATAAAAAGCTGAAATTATCAGAAAGAAGTTAGAAGCATAACAGTTTTGTAGTTAGCTGAAAAAAATCTTAAAGGATGAGAAAACAGCTGAAAGTAGCTGGAAAAAAGTTTAAAAAAGCTGAACCAGAACAAAATGTGAAAGGAGCAGTAAACGGTTGTAAACAGGTCTAAAGATATGAAGGATGGAAAATGAACTAAATTCATTATCTATGAGGAAAAGTGGCAGAAAAGGCTAAATATGTCAAAAAGCTAAAGTTGCACCGATACCAAAAGTCATAACAAGATTGTTCTGAAAGAGCTGAACGTTTTGATTCATGATTTGTTGATTCGGACAAAAACTGTGGAATGAAAACGGTGCAGAAAAATGTACAGATGAAAAATGGATCACAATAGTGTGAACGCTTCATAAACATTCACACAATAAAAAAATAAAATGAATAAATAAAGGGTTTGGTTTTTGTTTTTCTTGCAGAGGGTTCAGGTGTGCATCCAGACCTGAACCCCATTGAAAACCTCTGGATTGTGATCCAGAGGACGATGGATGGTCAGAAGTCATCAAAGCTGATTGATTTTTGCACGAGGAGCAGTAAAATATTCCCACAACCGCCTCCTAATAAAAACTGGTGGAGAGCACAGTAAGACAGCTGGGATCAAATAACAGGGTTTTTGCATCAAATATAAATTTCTGAAAGAAAAAAAATGAATATAAGCTTGTTCTTGTTGCAGTACTTTATCTTTGAAAACACTTTTCTGTTATTCGCACCATAAATAAATGATTTTCAGCAGAAGTTTGTCTGAAATGAGTGTTAGCTACCAGCGAGTCGTGGATGTGTTGGAGTAGCCAGCTTTAGAAAGTAATGGGTCTATTTTCAAGTGCAAGACTTGCAAAACTGCATTCTTGGCCGTGCATATTATTTTGTTTCCCACC